CTTCTTGTGTCTCTCTCGCTTCGCGTCCCTCTTTACCTCTCATCTCCCTTGACATTTTACTGTGTTCCCCTCTTTGTGTCCCCCCTCTTTGTCTCCCCAGCCCGTCCAGTTTCCCTGAGCCTTCCTTCCTTCCTGGTGTGTGATTAGTCAGCGTCTTGTGTTTCCTGTTTTACTTTGACAGTGTCATGTGCTGTGTTTAGTGTGTTCTGTTTTGCTTCCTCATGTCTCGTAATGCTTAACTTATGTTTATCTCTTTATCATGTATCATGTTCAATGTATCTCATGTTCAGGGTTGTTTTTTTTTTGTCTCTTATCCCTAGTGTTAGTGTTAGTGTTGCCTTAGTTTCCGTGTGCCTTTGTTTCTTATCCTTGAATCAACCAATAAATCGCTTCACCTTTCGTTAAGTTCCCGCTTCCTTGTCTTGTTTTACTACATTTAGATCTTCACTTACAACACATCGACCACCGGGCTGTGAAGCTGCTCAATTTTGGCAAAGTGATTCTTAGATATTCTTTTTATCTTTGCAGCTAAAAAACCTAATTTACAAATCTTAAGTTACAAATGTATTTTTCAAGACAGATGTGGTGAAGAGGGAAGCAGAAATTGCAACAAACATAATGCTTTTACAAAAATATTTTAAGTGGTGAAAAAGAAATGCATGTATTCTAATGTGGAACAACAATGGTAAATGGCCTGTATTTATATAGCGCTTTACTAGTCCCTAAGGACCCCAAAGCGCTTTACATATCCAGTCATCCACCCATTCAACAACAGAGAAAACTGCAGTTCAAACCTTTTTATTTTTATATTTTTATTTAATTATTTTGTTCTGTAAAGTATCCTTGGATTTCTTTAAAGATGGTAGTTAAAATGGTTTTTATATGTTATCAATAATATATATAATCATTTTGTAACTCCTGTTGTCTATACCCAATTATTTATAATGTCTATTTCCCAATATAAGCAAAGATATTACACTTTACAATAATGAGTACAAACATTTGCAATCATTTTTTGACAGGCGATTGCTTTTTGGCTCAACAGCAGCATGCACTCAACTATAACACCTCACTAGGTTCTGGATGAGGTTTGCGTTAGCATGTTATATGTGGAGATGCTTGCAAAGAGCTAAAGTTGTATCAGCAGCATAATGCAGTTGTTTTATGTCTTGGACACAACTTACACTTTAACATCATGCTCTTGTCCTTTTGTGCAATAAAAGTAAAAGTAATGTCCATATCTCCACCCCTTAAAAGTTCCACCTCCCTGCATAGGAACTGAAATCAGCTGACTATCTGCACAGAAAAAAAAAAAGTATGCCTGGGGTTTTTTTTGTTTGTTTGTTTGTTTTGGTTTGTTTTTTTGTCCAACGGTTGTGAGCAGCTAACTGAAGGATCTTTGTAACAAAAGCAACAATTACAACTTTTTTGTGATAACTGAATTTAGCATGTTACTGAAAAATTTTATGTAATTACAGTAACTGGTTATTTTGGAATCCTTTGTAACCAAAATTGCCTGCCAAGCACTTTTTTTTTTAACTGAAAGAGATACTCTATCTAGGTTGTTTTGTTGCAAAAGGTGCATGGGATTACCTACAACTGCTTTCCACACTTCTGTTTTAAGAGAGTGGAGATCTGATAACAGAAGAAATGTATCTCTATCCCTTTTATCTCAACAAATTCGTAATAAGTAGTTGTCAAACAGCTAACAGATCATCTGCAGAGGAAGGGCTTGTTTGAAGAGTTTCAGTCAGGTTTCAGAGCTCATCACAGCAAAGAAACAGCTTTAGTGAAGGTTACAAATGATCTTACGGCCTCTGACAGTGGACTTATCTCTGTGCTTATCCTGCTAGACCTCAGTGCACCATTTGATACTGTTGATTACAATATTTTACTGGAGCACTTAGAGCATGCTGTAGGTATTACAGGTACAGTATTATATCTAACTAATAGACTCCAATTTGTTCATGTAAACAGAGAGTCCTCTTCACACACACTAAGGTTAATTATGGAGTTCCACAGGGTTCAGGGCAGAACCAATTCTGTTTACATTATACATGCTTCCCTTAGGCCAGACCTTCCCAAAGTGTGGGGCCCGCCCCCTGGGG